CAGCAATTAAACTATTCTCTAACAAGCAATTGAAAATTAATTGCTTCCAGATGCACTTTACATCTTAAGGAGAAAAGATTACACAAAGTATTCCTTTTCTGACAAGGAATATCACATATTTTACAAAGAAGCTTCAATGGCTCCCTTAGAAGAGTCAAATTTGTATTTTAAGAGCAAAAGGATTTAATTCTCAAGTCTGTCTATATTGAAAAGTAAAAGGAAAACTTTTTATTTTAAAATTCTAATAGCACAGAACATGGAACTAATTCTACTTTGTATTCCTCTATAGGACCTAGCTCAGCCTCTTATGAGGTAGGTAATTAATGACTCAACTGGATATAACATTTTCTATCAATCAACCAAGGTTTAAACTGCTTTCAGATATTTTAATAGAAACGAGGTTGATATTAGAATTTTTTTAAATCGCAAGATATTGAAAAAATATGCCTTGAAAACCCACAACATTTTTCATTTGTTTTGTAAACACACAAGTTCTATTATGTCCAAGAACAATATTCTAAGTATCTGGATGTGAAGGTTTCAAAGATGTATCATACAACACACAAATAACTGTAAAACTTCGTATCTATGATATGAGGTAAAATATAAAATTCGATAACCTTTAGTGAGCACCTACTATGTGCCAGGCTCTGGAAATATAAAAATGTGGAAGACTGGATCCTCATAGCCTGCCAGGGAAGATAAACTTACAAACACTATTTGTAAGAAGTGTTTTATCAGTAGATGAGAGGCAGAATGTAAGGTACATTGAGTACTCCAGAGAAAAGAATGCCTCTCCAGTCCATATAGTATTATACACGTTCAAAGGACAGAAATCCCTTTTTGCTGGCAATTGGGTTGAATCCTAAACAATGACTAGGATTTTGATTGGCAAAGAAGGAAGGAAGAATAAAAAGTATGGCTAAAGGCATGGAAATAAAGATGATCTACTTCAAATGGAAGCAAGTTAAGCAACTTCCATAAAGTAAAAGGATACAACTCAACGGTGATATATCAAGCACAAGCTATATGATGAAATGTTTTAAATCTAAATTTAAGGACAAGAGTGACACAATTAAAGTGAAATTGTTAAAAGATTAATATGATATAGCAATATGAATGCTGAATTGAACAGGGAGAGGACAGAAGCAGGGAAAATAATTAAGATATTATTATATTCTAGGGATTAAAAATAACAAAGGTATGAACTAGGTTGATAATAAGAGTGGCAAGGAAAAGAACTGATGCAAAAGTGATTGTGAAGAAAAGACTGAGCTAGAAGATTGATCGGATTATATGTAGATAAGGGGAATGAGTGAACAGTAACTAAAATATTTAATTTGATATAGAGATTAATGATATCATTAACAGAAACAGGGCCATCAATGAGAAGAGAAGGCTTGGTGAGAAAAAATGTTTTGTTTTAGGCTGAATTTAAAGAAATTCCTGACAATCATGTACAAGTAACAACTGAATTAATAATATTCAGACTGAAAAAGAATGCTGGCAAAGACTAAAAATATAAAAAAAGGTATGTCTAAACCAATATTAAGTGATAAAAGTAGACTATGAAACTGATTTACAACTATGAAAATCGATGTCTGAACAATAAGAAATCCTTTCAAGAAATCACAAAGATTAACGTATACTTACTAGTTGCCATTCTATGGCAAAAGGGGTGAGCCTGTATTTACTATAGTACTACTCAAAAACATATTTTAATATATTTAATAATATTTCATTTTAAATCAACACATAATCAGAATAAAAATGGAAATGAGGGAATGGAGCTCTGCAGAAAGAGAGAACTGGAAATTGACTTGGAAGTCAATGGCACAGAGCAAGGAGATATAAGGTTTAAGGTTAAAATCAAAAGGCTAAAACTCAAAACTGTTGGAAGCCATCTGAGTCCTGCATTGTATGAATCAGTATCCGTAAGAACCAGCAATAAGGCATTCTATATAATCCTATTAACCTCCTAAAATCTTTATAAAATATGCCAAAATACAGATACAATCACATACTATAAAACTCTAACAGGTAGTTACAAAATAAGAAGCTCATTATTGCCCATTGATAAAAATTAAATTCTACTTGAGACACAGTTCTAGAAAAATCAGAAATCTGTACCTTTGTACTATTTCTAGCTGTGGGGCGTGGGGGAAAAGAAGGACTATTCTAGAGACCGAGATAGGAAACATTGCTTTTTTGCCAATATGGATGACTTATTTCTACACACACAAAAACGCTGCAGACTGAATATCTTTTACAACCTTGAATGAGAGAGTACCTTCAACTAATTAATAAACTTTTAAGTATAAGCTGTTTATATTAAAAATGGAAGCAAAATATCAGAGTAAGAAGTATATAGGTGTGTTGTGAATTTCCTAAAACTTCCCCCCCCCCACAATGAAATTTAGGTAACTTGCTCAAAACTAAAAAAGTAAATAAATATTCAAAAAAAACTAACCAATAATTAATCTGGTAAAAACATTTGAGGTATTCTGCAATCTTTTGAAAGTTGAAATTAAAGAAACTATTCACAAACCATTAAACAAATCAGGGGGGTCATTTTATTATAGTTTCTATAATTTAACTATTTTTAAAAAGCAGCATTCAACAGGTTAAAATTTCAGCATTTCAACAGGTTAAAAGGTTAACATTTTCTTGTGTTTTTTTAAAGACAAGTTTTATTTATCACCTTTCACTATCTGTAGCCCTAAATTTGCCCAAAGTCAACTCCTTGTTCTCATAGTCACAATGGGAAAAAAGTATGAGAGTTGACAAAGGAGAAATGAGAGTGAAGAAAACATAATAAAAATTGTAACGCTCAATATTTTGACTTCACTGATTTAAGGAATGTGCAGATAATTACAAAAAGATATTATGTAAATGGCATAAACTCAGAAACTCCTGCTTAAGTGCTTGTCAACTAAAACAAAATACCCAATAAAGACTATATCTACACAATGCTAAATTAACCACTGTAATCAATTAATCAAGAAGACTTTGGTAAGTCTGACAATTCTTGCAACATGTGCAAACTGACAGGAGAAAAAGAGATCTCAAGAAGCCCGCTAAATGTAACGCCTCTTCCTACATAAACCAGTATTACATTAATATAGGTATTACAAATTTTCCTCTTCCTCCAAGCTAATACAGTTGGGTTCCTCCACAACAGTAGTAACTTTAAATTTCTATTTAATAATTTTAATAAAACATATTGATGTGAACCATTATCCAATTATCCTGACCTCAGACATACAGTAGTAACTGTCTTTCAGAATAAATTTCGCACTAACGTGTAAATCACACTTGAAAGAAACTTGAAGATTCTTCATCTTACATAATTACATTACCATTTTTAATGCTAAAAGTTTCATTCTCAACATGTTCTTAGAATCCAGAATTAAAGCACAGCATGCCTTAAAGTTCAGCCAAATAAAAACTTTGCTATGCATTAGAGAATCTAATGAAACGGAGAAAGAGCTAAAGACCATGCTCTATTTTTACTGGATGCCACATTCTGAATTCCAGATTTGTCCTGCAATTTGTCAGTCATTTCAATCCATTCAGTCAACTTTGTAAACAAAGGCTATATGCCAAATTTGATATAAGAACTTGATTAAATAAAGCTTAAAATGGTCATCACTTAAACAGGAAGGCGTAAAAGGAAAAATGCCGCCACACACCTCTTTTAAAAAATCAAGTTAATATTCATGAACTATAAAGCCTTAAGTTTTCAACCTCCCCAAAAAGTTTTTGCTGCAGTATTATTCAAAATAAAGCTACATTCTTCCACATACAACAACCAAGGCAACTTTGAGATAGCTTAAAAGTCTTTTCATTGTAAGGAGAAGCTATTGCTGTAAAGCCGTTTTCTAGTAATTAATTCCAAGTTGCCCACTAAAAAAACGTAAATTGTCTGTCTAGTCACCTATTACCACCACTTTTAACACTGCTTTTTTTTGCAGAACTCTACGTGGTTGTGTTGCTTTTGGCCTGTTAAAGGCAAAGCAACATTATCTCTGGATTGCCAACAGTTTCTCCTTATTTGGCTAACATTGGGAGATCCCAATCACACTACTATAAAACTTTAACATGCACAAAGCATCCATTTTGAGAAAAGTTTGTGACCAGCTCTCTTTTTTCCCACCCCCCACTAAAAGAAAAATCAGAGCTCGGTAACCGGTTTTGAAAAGAGTGTCTCTTGTTAATTCTTCTCTTTCTAACTACAGTGCACACCCCAGGACCTGGGGCTCAAGGATCTCTGACACTGCGGCAAACTCTTAAGAGTACCAGACTCAATACGTTCCGGTCCGGAGGTGGGCAAGCCCTTTAGAATGCTCTCTTACTCTGCCCACTTCCATCTCCTCCTTGTCAGCCGGTGCAGATTAGCTAATTACAACCCGTTTTCCCCTCCCGAGTCACTAAGAGTAATAAAGAAGAAAACAGGAAATCGTTCGTTCAGGGCATTCGGCTCAGGGCTCTTGATTACTATTATTATCATCATCATCTGTAACCAAGTCCTAAAAAGTGCAACAAATCCAATGCCCACCTACAAGCCAAAGACGTCCAGCCGCCCAAGCTTCCCTAACGCCCCTTGTTTTCTTCAGCATCCGTCCCCCAAACTGATCGCTGACAGGGGGGCCCAGACACAACCCCACTACAACCCTTCCCTGTCCTGACCCCAAATCCCAGACACACATCCACAAATGGCCCTGGGGCCCCAAGACGACTACAGTCTCTTTTCCCCCATGCCCCGGAAATCACCCGGTTCCCAACTCCAACAGCAACTGCTCTGAAGGGGGCCCCAAACCCAGCGCCCTCCCTCCACCAGTTCTCTCCCTCCCTCCCCGTTGGGAAACCGCCCCCTCATCCCGCAGCAGGGAGTCTCCTGCCGCCCCCAGCCTCAGGAGGCCGAGAGCGGAGAGCAGGCCCAGGCCGGAGGCCGAGGAGGACCCTCAGGGTCAGGAGAGCCGGCGGCGGGGTGCACAAACCTGGTGCAGGGCAGTAAGTCCGTCCACATTGGCGTAATTGATGTCGGCGCCGCGGTGCAGCAGCTTGAGCACCTCGTCCGTGTCGCCGCTGGAGCAAGCAGCCAGGAAGACGGCGCCATCGTCGAACTTCACCTTGGTCTTCTGGCGCTTCACCACCGGAGGCTCGAGGTCCGTCTCGGAGCCAATCCAGCGCTTCAGCTGCTCGTTCCGCTTCTGCTTCGCGTCCGCCATCTTCATCCCCTCTCCAGCCGCCGGGTCTTCTTATCGCGAGGGGGGGAGGAGGGAGGCGGAGAGGGAACAGAGGCGAGGCAGGGGGTGTGTGTCTGTTTCTATGAGTGTGGGCCAGCGGAGGGCTGGGAACCGGGAGGAGACGCTCGAGACTTCCAGTATCCCACAGAGCACTGGGGCGGCGCGCCCGGCCCAAGCGGACCTCCCTTCCTACCACAGAAGCCCTCCCGCCCCCTGCACGGCCACCCGTCACCGGCGGCCAATCTAACGTAACTTCGCGAGATCCGGGCAGGGAGGCGCCCTTCGACCAGTGCGCATGCGCCCTAGGCCCGCGCCCGCCCCAGGAAGAGCGCTCCCGCGAACTGCGGCGGGGGTGGCCGGGCCACCGGAGGGAAGCGGGTGTGGCCGGGTCTGCTCGGGCTGCGGGGGCTGGGACCAACCTGGAAGGGAGGAGGCAGGGAAGGAAGGTTGTCCTGCCCTGCTGAGGGCTCCCAGGGTTCTGGAGGCCAGAAGTAGGGTTGGAAGGAGCTACTGGGCCGACCTGCCTCCAGGTCTGTCTCTGCTACGCGGAGTCGTTTGCTCAGGGTGGAGGATTTTCCTATTGGCTGCGTTATTTGAATGGAATGGAGGATAGGCCATGAATTAGTTGCTTGTGGTTGCTGTTCCTGAGGAACTCAGTTGAACTTCGGCATCTTAGTATTGATAGGAACCTTGCAAATGCGGGGTCTGTGTAGTCGAAGTCTTTGGTGGTGGTTACAGAGGTGACCACCTATGGACCAGGGTTGACCTGCAGTAATTGCGGTGGCTTCCTGCCAACCCCCACGTAGAAAGGTCTTTCCTCTTATGTTTGTTTGTTATTGTTTTGGTTTTTTCTCTCACGCTTATTTTGGGTCCTTTCTCCTTCCTTAAGTCCTTTAAGCCTGCTTGGTACTTTAGCTCAGCCTTGTTACTGGTTCTTACCTTTTAAGGGATTTCTGATTGCAGCTTCATTGCTTTCTAAGGAGGGGTTAAGACTCAGCAGTGTCTAAACTTCAAACGGAATGTTAATAAACGCAATTAAGTCAACCACTATTTATTGAATACTTACTATGAGGCAGTAACTGTACTAGGCACTGAAGATACAATGAAAAAAATGACGTTTATTTGAACTACCTCTTGAGGGTACATGCTCAAAAAAGACTTTGTAATTTATTATCGTCATAAAAAAAAAGACTTTTTAACTTTGCCTTGTATGACCACACACGCGCACGCAGGATTTGTAATGCTGATGTCTTAAGAGCGCTGTATCTGCATTCTCTACCAATTGGTATTTTCCTAAACACTCCATTGTTGTTATCCAGTATTTTTTAGAGCCAAAATAAAGTCATGAAATCTTACCATGGAAGTTCAGGGCTCGTCTAGACTGAATCCCCAAAGAAGTAATTAATTTACTTAATTTTACCCAGAAGCAGGATTAGGATTTATTCAGCAAATATTATGCACCTACTCTGAGTGTGGCATTGTTCTAGGTGCAGGGATAGGGCTATGAACAATTAAGCTTTTCTTATTCTCAGTATGATGCCTTTTCAAGTAAACTACATTGCAGGCTATCATGTTGAGAAATAAAATAAGTGAGTAACAGGAAACTACCTGCCTGTAAGACAATTTTCTAACCCACAATTGCTAAGATAGTAGTAACAGAATCAGATAAAAATAATTCCTCTGAATATTGTAGAAATAGAAAATGAGGATAACATGCATTAAACTGTGTGTTCATAAAATATGTTAATGATAATACCAGACCTTTGAATAATGATGGTGTTAGGTGCTGAAAAAAGAGCTCTAAAATTCAAAATCCCTATCCACAGAATACAGCTCTCAGAATTAAAGAAAGGAATTTTAGGATACCTTGCCAGCTTTTCTGTCTACCTAAAAAACCTGATAGCCTATCCTTATTATCTTCCATGAATGTTATGGTCTGTTTAGTAGCTTTTAAAAGCACTCTTGGAAAATAGATAGGTATCCAAGTTTTAATTTGGGCAAGAAGAGTTTGGTGGAAAGGACAATGTTTCTGATTCAAGCACTTATTTCAGGCTGTAAAATTAATAAATAAAACAGTGGCTTATTAATAAAACATAAATATTTAAGTCCAGTTCCGAAAGGCTATCAGTCAAAACAAAACAAAAAAAAAACTAGGCTGTTAATATGCAAATTTCACTAAGTTTCATTTTCCTTCTTCCAGAGCTGTAAGGGTATAACATCAGCAAGGAAGCCCTGTGTTAATCTAATTGGAAGTATTCTTAAACTGCTACCTTCTTTGTCTTTTTAGGGAGGATTTTTAAAAAAATAGTTATTGAAATTAATGATACTGAAGACCTATGGCTAATTCCAGAACAGACAAAACTTTATTAAAACACACAAAGCAATCGCTTCATATTACCTTAGTAGCTGAATGAAATTAAAGATTTGTCTAAGCAGAAGAAGAAATTGAAAGGTAAATATTTTCACTTAACTAATGGCATCTAGTAGATTGGGATGTAAGGATACATTTCAGCTCCCTTAAGGCAAAATAAGCCTTAAAATAGAAGGTGCAAATGAAACTATACTTACTAGTTTGCTGGGTTTTTTTTCTTTAGCATATCATTAATCATATTGAGATCTTTGTTTATTACATGCACAGGTTGTCAGAATGAAGTCTGTACACATCTTTTTCAAAGTTAAATTACACTACAGATATTCCTTACTAACCATTAATTTACTTGTTCATTATAATCAATGTAAACATTTTTAATTACACCATAAATTTATTTGAAATGCTCATATACAAGCTTAGATTTTTTTCCTGCTTGCTTGTACTTTCTCTGTCTCATACAACATGATATGATACTACATTTATAGTCATGTTTGTTATTAGCAAAACAATGACAGAATGTAAGAACATAGGCACAAAAGTATGTGTGTGCAAGGCCTTAGCTTAGTACCAACCTATGTAATATGGAGATTTATTCCTATCAAGTGGAACTTAGAATGGTAAACCTAAACATGAAAATGTAGTTGATCACCATGCAATATGTGAACAAAGGACAAGAAAAGGCTAAGTAAATCATATTTGGATTTTAAAGTCAACCCACGCTAAAAAAATAAAATCTCAGTTCACTAAAAGATTGGTTAATAGCCATTTGATAAGAAACGTTTTTTACATGTAAAAAGAAGTCTCTGTTATAAAGACTTAAGAACTTTCGAGATCTAAGTTGTTTCCTTACTTGTTTAATTTATAGCTTACTGTGTTGCCAGACTTTACATTCTTTTTTTTTTTTTCTTTGAGACAGATTCTCTGTTGCCTGGGCTAGAGTGCTGTGGCATCCGCCTAGCTCATAGCAACCTCAAAATCCTGGGTTCAAGCAATCCTTATTCCTTAGCCTCTCAAGTAGCTGGGACTACAGGCATGTGCCACTATGCCTGGCTAATTTTTTCTATATATTTTTAGTTGTCCAGCTAATTTCTTTCTATTTTTAGTAGAGACGGGGTCTCGCTGTTGCTCAGGCTGGTCTCAAACTCCTGAGCTCAGTGATCCACCTACCTCAGCCTCTCAGAGTCCTAGGATTACAGGCATGAGCCACCATACCAGACTGCCTTTACATTCTTTATAAAATAGTGTAGATATATATCACTAATATGGTGTAGCACACTAAAATTTTCTATAAACCAACTTTCTGGGCAGTGAATTTTTTCCCCCTTAACTTTTATTATATAATTGGAACTATACTTTTGTTCAAAAATGTACATAAGATATTAATAAATACTTTTAGCTCAAATGTTTATGTTCTCCTCATCCCTAATTTAAACCTGTGATTCTAATTTTCATTTATACACTTAAGAATAGAATATTCAACGAGACATTTTGATCTTATCTGCTATATTCTACACCTGGGCTAAGCTCTCTTCCATTGTACAACAATTTCTTTCAGGTTCTTTTATAATAAGAACCTCAAGAAAAGTTTACAGTCTGCTAGCCTCATAAACTATTCAGTTCCACTCAGGAAGTTGATCAGAACCAACACTGAACCTCACTAATTTGCTTCAGACTCCATTTGTGGATCAATCCTGATTTCTAGATCATAGCATCTAACCCTTTGTTTGCCTCACCTCTGGTTTACAGGGTGGGTCTCACTCCCAGACCCAATGTTTCCTTCCACTACTCTGAGAGTTAGCTCACTCCTAGTACTTCAGGGTAAATTTTCTGCCACATCTGGCTTCATCTCAAGAACCTAACCCTAAAAAGTATAAGCTGTGGCTGATATTTCTGCAGAGCTTCTCTGGTCCCCCCAGACTAGGAATTAGATGAGTGTCTGGCAACAGTCCAAAATTCAGGCATATTGCTAAAGAGATGAAAACTCACCTCCGCTGCACATGACTCCAACTTGTGTCATGTTCAGTGTCAGAACATCACATGGCCATTCATATGAATTACTTCATTTAGTGTTTCTAAAACTGCATCACAATTTTTTTTGCCAGATCCAAGAATCACAAATACTATTATTTGTTTAATATTTTCTTTAACCTTTTATAAAACACTTAACTACATTTATTTTAAAGGAAACATTATATTGCTTTGGTAAGTGGAAAACATTTCAATTGATAAAAGATTTTATAAACAAATACAATAAAAAAAAAAAAAACATTCTATTTAGGTTGCCTGTCAAAGATCTGAGCCCAAGCCCTACTCTCAATTTGTTAAAAAAGGAAGATTGGTAAGCATTGGACATATTATCATCAACCTAAAACTTTTCTACTTAGCATAATCAGAAAGATTAAATGATACTTAAAAGAGAATAAATTTTTTAAAGTGGAAAATTTTCATTGTTATTTTAATGTTACAGCTACCTAATATTACCTCATGTACTACTAGTCTACATGTCCCATACTTTGGGAAACTGAATGACTTTAATTACCATGTGTAATAATAATTATGATTAATTTGGTGAAAGTTATAGGAAGGGCCTTAATGGCACATATGCCTCAGGGTATCAAGGCAAGCCATTGGAAGGTGAATTTATATGAAAGTATCTATGTGCTCTGGGAGAAAACTCTGAAAGGAACTTTGGAACTAAGAGGCATGCTCCATAGCAGTGAAATTACAAGGAAAAATTATATGCTCTGGGAGAAAACTCTGAAAGGAACTTTGGAACTAAGAGGCATGCTCCATAGCAGTGAAATTACAAGGAAAAATTATAAGATGAAAGCTTCTCCAGCATCTGGAAGGTGAGTTTAGCTGCATGAGCTCCAACTTGGGACACTGTTATTTAGATGAGGGATCCAGTCAATTGTCCTTCAAATCAAATCCTAGGAAAATCTTCTAAATTCCTCCATAGGCCAGAGTGCAAAAACAGTCAGAGTGAGGTATTAGTGAGAACAAAAACATGCAGTGATGACAAACACAGTATCACTGGTAATATTGCTGACTGTGTTCAATTTGGGCAGGTAGGAGTGATATCAGCTTCATGTGGTTGTCTTAAAGACTGAATAATGTATGTGAGAAAGAAAAAGATTGAGATTTTGTTTTCTTGTATTTGTCTTTTCCTTCCCTCATTTAAGCTGATAGCAATTCTGCTTTCTTGTCTAAGGGCATGTTTGTGGCAGGGAAGAAAGCAGAAGTTGCTTTCAAAACACTTTCCTTCCTAACTTGAAATAGCCACCGCCAAATCGCTATTCAATAAGAGTTTAGGGCTAATAATCTGATTGGAATTAGTGTATGAGGTTGCTAGAAACTTATTAAAGTTACATTTGCATAGTATTATAGATCAGTAAAAATAGCACCATTTTCTAAATTTGCTTTCATTATCACATTACAAAAATGTTGATTCATAATATCATGGAATGTTATTTTTATTTAGGGTAGAAAAAGGGGAACCAAGCAGAGGGGTTCACCCAAGCCAACCTTGGGTGCTGCCATGGGAAAGAAAGACTTCACTAAGAATAAAAGGTGACACCAAGGCTCAAAAGGAGGAGAAATTCTATGGGTCTCTTGAACAGTAGGGATTTGCTCCCTGATCCCTGGAAGTACCCCCAGAATGTGACAAGATCTCAAAATGAATGGCTGCTTCAGAGAGACTGGAACATTGGCCTGGGACTCCCACTAGCCAAACATAGCTGAGCTGGCTGGATTGTAACAGTTTGGTGGATCTGAGGTCGGTAAATACGTATTGGTTGGCAACTATTATTATATGTCAATCATTATTCTAGGTTCTGGGGATACAGGAATGAATGATATGAAGTATCTACTATCAATGAGCTTACATTCCAGTGAGTAAGAACAGAAAACACATTTAAAAATGAATGAATTAAGATATTGTTAACTGTAGTGATGGAAAAAATTAGCACAAGAAAGAACAAAAGACAATGTCTGAAGTTATTGGCAGTTAGGGGGAAAAGGGACTAGTTTAATTAGTTAATCAGGAAAGATCTGCTTTGAGGGTGTATCCAGGTTTTCTGGGACCTGATATCTATACAAGTTTCTTTTTTTTAAGAAAAAGGATTTTAAATGACAAATACTCAAGCACAGGGACTTGGAACGGGTCCATTCAAATGAGAGGCCCTGAAGTTTCACAGTAAATCTGTCCCTGGCTGGAACTTGAATGTTGGAGAAGAGAGTTGAAGCGATCACGAAGTCTAGGATAGATGTTCCAGCATTAACTCATGTGCAAATGCAACTGATGACTACATATGTATGATCTCAGAAACTTGACATGCAACTCTGGTGGAGGTAAAAGATCACTAAGAATGACTGATATTGAATTCCCCACTGGCCAGGTGGTAAAGGTGAAACTAAGTTCTTTAGAAAAAATCAGGGAAGATGACCTTGAGGAATCTTTAAGTGAGATGCATTCCCAGTACATATGTAAAGAGCCTTACATATATTTGGTATGTATTGAGGGCTTGCATTCTTTTTCTATTGCTGCTGTAAGCATACTAAAACAATACCCACTTATTCTCTCACAGTTCTCTAAGTCAAAAGTATGGGTGGATTTAGCTGGATTGTATGCTCAGAGTCTCACAGGCCAAAAGCAAGGTGTCAGCTGGGCTGGGCTTTTATCTGGAGGCTCTGGGTAAGAATCTGCATCCAGTCTCATTCAGGTTGTTGACAGAATTCAGTTCCTTGCAGTTGCACGAGTGAGGTCTCTGTTTTCTTACTAGCTGTCTGCTGGGGGTCACTCTCCAATATTGGAGGCCTCTCTCTGTTTTTTACACATGGGCCCCTCCATCTTCAAAGCCCACAACGGTGTGTCAAATCTTTCTCATGCTTTGCTTCAAAGTTAAAGAAATGAATAAAACATTGTCCTTTAGGTTAAGGAGTACAGTTTAGTGAAGGAAACTGATACTAAAACAGATAATTTTAATACAAGGTAAGAGCTAAATACTTATAAAGAATTTACCAAGTGCCCATTCCTGTTACAAGCAGTGTTTGTATATTTTACCTTACAGGGTAAGGGAAGGGAGATATGATAGATAGAAGAATGCAGGGTGTGCACGGATGAGGATACCTTTAGGGGTTACGGGAAGAGGCAGATAGGAGTGGCCTCTCAGGGAAATCTTTGAGAAGGTAATGATACGTGAACTCATCCTCAAGGAAGAGTAGGAATTAGCTAGTCATAAACATGATGTATGTATGTCCTGGGTGTGTGTGTGTGTGTGTGTGTGTGTGTGTGTGTGTGTGTGTGTGTGTAGGGGTAGATTTTATATTCATAAAGGCAGGAAGAGGAACAGTTTAGTAGTATCAGAACACAAAGCAACAAGAAAGTCATAACAGGATACAAAATTGGAGAAATAGAGAGTAACCTAATCACCAAGTCTTCTATAGGAACTTGAGGACATATTTATCATAAAAATAATGATGGGAATGATTGAAGGTTTTTAAAAAGTGTCACAAAGAATTATTTGGAGTAGCTCAGATAGCCCCAGGTGAAATGTAAAGAAAGCTTAATTTATCTTTGAAACTTTTCTCTCTTCCCTAAACATTAATCCTGTGACTCATTCTTGTTATTAGCAGACAATTCTTGACCTAAACTGAGAATTAAGAGCTTGTTAATAAGGTCTAAAATATGGCCTATCTCATTTCAGAAGAAATTTCTCAGAGACTGAAAAGTCATCAGTGCAATGACAAGCTGTTGAAACCCTCATATTTTTAGACTAGAATGGACGACGACTTTTTCTATTTGAAAGGCTGGCTTGAATGTCAGCTGGAGTTGTAGAGGTAAGCTAATGGGATGATGAGGAATGTCCTGCTATAATACTTTTTCACTATGCTCATCTGTTCATTCTGGTAGCATCTTGGAGCATTAGACATGTCCTACTGGATTGTCCCTCGTTATGCTTTAGGCAAGTGGTCTGCCTAGGCTAAATGACCCCAAAGTTTCTTGGGAATTTACAGAAAACATTTATTTCTAGGGAAGAAGGGATTATTTCTTTCATTGCACAGTCTTGGTCCTACCCATCAACTTGTTCCCTGGTCAACATTAGACATGAACAAATCTGGGTTCTTGATTGCAAATAATAGAAACTGAACTGCTTATTTGTATTAGTTTTTTATTGCTACATTTCAAATTACCACAAACTTAAAGGCTTAAAACAACACAAATTTTCTAACCCATAGTTTTCATGGGTAAGGAGTACAGCATGTTTTTGCTCAGGGTCTTAAGAGGCTGAAATCAAGGTGTTGGCCAGGTGCATTCTCATCTGAGCTTCATGCACCCTGGTTGTTGGCAGTATTCAGTTTCTTGTAGTTGTAGAACTGAGGTCTCATTTACTCCCTGGCTGTCAGCCAGAGACTGCTCTCAGCTCCTGAAGGCTGCTCTCAGGTCTTTACCATGTGACCCCCTCCATAGGCACTTCAGCATTTGTTTTTCCAGGCCAGGAGGAGAATCTTCATCCAGGAAGGGCTCAGTCCTTTTCTTAGGAGCTTTTCGTGACTAACTCAGGTCTACTCAGGGTAATCTCCTTTTTTTTACACATTTTAATTACTTATTTTTTGAATTGTGGTAAAACACAGGTATATATAACATAAGATTTACTATTTTAACCATTTTAAATGTAGAGCTCAGTGGCATTAAGTATATCCACAACTTTGTGCAACCATTGCCAACATCCATCCACAGACATTTTCATCTTGCAAAACTCAGACTGTATCCATTAAACAATACCTCTTCATTCTTTCCTAGTCCCTGACAATTACCATTCCATTTTCTGTATCTATGAATTTGACTACTCTAAGTACTTCATATGACTGGAATCACCCAGTATTTGTCCTTTTGTGACTAGCTTATTTCACTTAGCATAATGTCTTCAAGGTTCATCTGTGTTGTAACATGTCAGAATTTCCTTCTGATTATGTATATGTATGCACCACATTTTGTTTATCCTTTCATCCATTGATGGACATTTAGTTTACTTCCACCTTCAGGCCCTTGTGAATAATGCTGCTATAAATACAGGTATTACAAATATCTGTTCAAGTCCTTGCTTTTACTCCTTTTGGGTACATATCCAGAAGTGGGATTGTTGAATTATAAGGCCATTATAGTTTTAAATTTTTTGAGTCACCATCATACTGTTTTCTGTAGGACCAGCACAATTTTATGCTCTTACTCCAACTTCTTGGAAACTGAGAAGGTTTTAGGAGGAGTAATTTAAGGATTCCTTAAATTGCAAATAACAGAAACTGAACTGCTTATTTGTATTAGTTTTCTATTGCTATATTACAAATTAGCCAAAAAAAAAAATGCTTTAGATTAACTCAAAATCAACTGGTTTGAGTCCCTAAGTAAAATTCTTTCACCTTTGTCACATTGTATAGCATAACCTAATGGAGTGAAATCCATAATATTCACAGCTTCTCCCACACATAAGAGGAGGGGAGATACATGGTGTGTACACAAGGAACAAGAATCTTGGGAGTCATCTTAGAATTCTATCTACCACACTTGGATATGCAGAAAAGACATTTATGGAAACACTGTTGAATGGTTCCAGAAGCAGTGGGAAGGATGGAGAATAAACCCCAACAATGAGCGGGGACAAATTGTAAGGCAGGCAATAACAAACATAGTGAAGATCACACCATATGAAAACTGATAGAATAACATTGTTGGTGCCACCAAGACCAGATAGTAATTGTCATAATAGCTATGGTAATGAGTCTCCAAGAGTGTAAAGAGGATTGGTAAAGAGTCTCCAATCCCCTAGTGATTTTCACTTCCTGTGTATAGTGCTTTCGCATATTGCAATATAATATTGCATATAATCTAAGTGATGATCTATTATTTGCAAGATTAGTTCATAAAAGACACTGTGGCTACAATCTTGGTTGCTCTATCACTCTGTTGAATCACTTGCCCTGGGGGAATTGAACTGCCAAGTCCGAAGACATTTAGACGACTTTATGGAGGGACCCACTGCCAAGCAAGTGAGCCTTCTAAGAAGAAGATCCTTTAGCCCCAGTCAAGATTTCAGATAAATGACTGCAGCCAGAGGGCTGCTGGTGAGCTAAGAATGGTTTTCATGGCTTTAAGGGTGTTAAGCAAAGATGAATATGGGACTTAAGAGACTGTATGTGTCATGGAGTATCTCAACTTTTTACCACCTAGCCCTTTACAGATGAAGTTTGCTGACCCTTCCACTATCACTACTGATAGCAATCATGAACTCTTCCTGCAGCTTGCAACGTTCTCTCCAAATTCAGTCTTTGGCATGAATGCCCAGTTGGTTAAGCCTAGATATCCAAGCTCTAGCTGCTGAAGGACTGGAAGAGAGAATGTCTAACCCCATTCAGCTTCTGTAACAGGTGATACGGTCCTTCCTCCCAACAAGACTCACAAAATAGGAATTTCCCCTAAATTGAAAAGTGTTCAGATGTCAGGTAACAATAACAACAAAAAAAAGTGACATAATTTCATTTAAGTCAATCAGATTAGTTCACCTGAGCATTTAACAAACAAAATTGATTTGTCTAGATGATGATGTCCTGAAGAGACTGTCTAATATTTCACTCATCACCTACTTTGGTTCCTATACTTCTCAGTTGTTTTTTTTTTTGTTGTTGTTGTTGTTGTTTTGCTTTTCTTTCAAATTAGGGAGCTATGTCATATCCTCCCAACAAATTCATATTTTTGCTTAAAACCACAGTCAGCTCCTATGCTGGCAACAAAAGAATCTTGCCTGATAATATTATTGCTATTAACATTTTATTTCTCCAATATATTTTCTTCTACCAGGTGTTTTCTCTATAGGATATATTTCCTAACATTTTAGTCTTCACAAGCAAATGACATCAGGATATGGTTGCGAACACTGACATAATAATAAAGATGACCAGAAAATTACATGCTAATTATAAAACATGATTTCAAACTTTAAAGGATAAACACTCATTTTTTTCCTCAGCTAGATTTATATGTAACCCAGTATTCTAGAACTTGTATGTCAAAATCCAACTTTATTTTGTTAGCTGTCACTTAACATCAGTTTGTCATTCATTCATTACACAAATATTTATAAGCCCCTTCTTGTACCCACTATGTACCAAACCCTGTGTTAGTGCTAAAATTATAACACTTTATACATTCATTCTCTGCAGTCAACAATATATTGTTGGCAACAACTCAATTCCATGATCAACATAGCACCATTAATAGTAGAACAAACTCCATTATGACCCTTGGCCTTATCTGTATTTTTACCAAAAATGAATACCCCAACTCTAACCAGGCCTTTTAGATCAAATATCACTTTACAAGAAATATGGTAGATAGAAGAACATATATTATAATTGATTATAATAATAATCAGTTATAATGAGTTATTTATAATTGATTATTGGAAAAATTTGAATATGGATTGTTGTTTCAGATGATATTAAAGAATTTTTGTTATTTATGTTTTTTTATGTTCTAAGATGTGATAATGTGATTATATAGGAATCTGTCCTTAATTTAAGGAGATGCATATGTGAAGTGCCATTGTGATATTGACAAGTATCTTTTAAATGGTTCAATGAAATAAAAAATAAATACAAACACACATTAAGTAGATCAGCAAATTTGGCAAAATTTAACTTTCTTAATTTAGTAACAGATATCCAAGTGTTTATTTTATTATTGTTTCAATTTTACCGTTTGAAATTTCCCATAATAAAATGTTCAGGGATAAAAAGAACCTATTGTAAGGAGACTGCTGTGATTCTCTAGTAGGGTCAATGCCATGTCCTCAGAGGCATTTGTACATTGGTATTTTTGGTTATCAAAGTGGTTGTGGAGCACTACTGTGATTTAGTGGGGAGGAGAGTAGCAAGATGCTAGATAACTTGCAATGTGTGGAAATTCTCCAACCAACAACAAATTACCCTTCTCAGAATGCCAATAGCTCCCCTATGAAATAAGCCAATAAATAGCTCATACAAAAAAATCTTCCCTTGAGCCCATATTCCTCTTGTGTCTGTTCCTCAATCTATAAATAAAATAGTCCTGATAGAGTACTTTACATTCATGGTTTCCACTTCCTCAATCCACTCAAGTTTGATTCCACAACCATTCCTTTAAGAACTGGTTTTATCAGGATGAGCACTAATATTAGCCTTAAATCCAAAGGACATTTTGTGGTATTTGAACATGCTGAGTACTTCCTCTTTCTTGCAATTCCCTCCTCCCCCATCTTCCATGACACCACTTTCTTCTGGTTTTCCTCCTAACTCTCTAATTACTTTTCAGACTCCTTTCATAAACCTCTTTTTTTCTCTCTACCTACAATTTGTTTTAGCTCTCTTTTTTTTTTCTCTCTACATAATTTTTCTCAGATCCTCACCTCAAGGCCTAAGTTCCACAACTAATAACTATTTATACAATTGCCTACTGACATGAAATATTTAAGGATAACACACGAGAAATGGAACTCAATATCTCCTCACATATACTTTTTTCTCCTCTTACAGTCTTTTTTTTTTTTTTTTTGAGACAGAGTCTCACTCTGTTGCCCGGGCTAGAGTGCCATGACATCAGCCTAGCTCACAGCAGCCTCAAACTCCTGGGCTCAAGCAATCCTTCTGCCTTAGCCTTCCGAGTAGCTGGGGCTACAGGCATGCCCCACCATACCTGGCTAATTTTTTCTATATATTTTTAGTTGGCCAATTAATTTCTTTCTATTTTTAGTAGAGATGGGGTCTCACTCTTGCTCAGGCTGGTTTTGAACTCCTGACCTTGAGCGATCCACCCGCCTTGGCCTTCCAGAGTGCTAGGATTACAAACATGAACTACCGCGCCCGGCCCTCTTACAGTCTTTATTTTAGTTAATGACTGAGATCTACTTAATGCTTTAGGAAACTATTGAAGAGACATATATCCCTGATGGCAAGGGAGAGGGGAGGTGTGGGGAAGGGGGGGGCTTCCAGGAGGAGGTGACATTTAAGCTAAGTAACTACTCAAAAGGAAATTGAGTGAGGTGTTTGAGAGTGATGCAGTGTTAGTTAGCAAGGATACTCCATGCAGAGAAACAGAGGAAAAAGCACAAAGAAAAGTAAACCACACTTCTGAAAGTGAAAGTAATTTGAAATCGATGAAGCATACATGCTTTTTTGGCAGGAAGAATTGGCAAGAGATATGGTTGGAAAGATAGACAGGAAATAGGTCATGAAGAATCTTTTAGGCCATGCTAAGGGGTTTAGATCTTATCCTATCAGATTAGAGTTCACAGATGTGATGTGTTTGTTCTCCTGTCCTAAACACAGCCCCATTGTTGCTCTAGAATTTGCAGATTCATTTCTTATGACACTCTCTTTCCTATGCCCCAGAATCTGACCTCTACTTTTCTTCCAGAATGATCTTTTTGGCCCAAATATCCAATGATATTACTCCACTGCTAACAGTTCGTCAATGGCTCACCATCATCTGAAGCAGAAGTAGCAATTACTGAGGCCCACAGGGGCCAGGAAGGTGGCATGAGGGCCCATTGAATAGAGCAGATCAGATGAGGACTATTGCACAGTGGTGACAGCAGAGCCTGTCAAATGTGGGCAAATGTTGCCAGAACTCCCAATTCTTTAAGAGAGACAACAATATAAGTTTTTTAGTCTTTAAATATCAACAACTAATTTAATATTTTTAAAGCACGGCATGAGTCAAACAAACTGCTTGTGTGGTCTATTGGAAATCAAACTCCAGATACTATTTACTCCCCTAAACTACTGGACAGATCAAAGGACACAAGACTGGTGCATTTCTGAGGCGACAGTTGAGGACAGCCTCTGCTAGGGCAATGACAGTACAGATGAAGCAGAGGGGCCAGAAATAGATAAAACTTAATGATTGCGTGGGGTGTAAACAACTGGAAGAACATTTTCCTAGTGGATGATGGTTGAGCAGGTCTAATTTTGATAAAAATTCTCATTTATCACACTGCCTAATTGCATTAATTGAACAGATTTGCTTTTTACAGTGATCAGCTTACTAGATGTATTTTCACATATCCCTAGTAACTATACATCAGTAAATCATACATCACTCCTGAGTAAATCACTAGGAAAGACAATTGATTCAGGTGGGGCAAAGGTAATATATGTAACCTAAACATTTGTACCCTTGTATTATGCTGAAATTAAAAAAAAAAACAATGATAAAATAAATGGAAGTTTTAAGAAGAATTTGGTGATCACTAGGAACAACTAAATATTCTTGAAAAATGAGCCATGCTAAATTAAGCTCATGAGTTTGTTGCTTGTTTGTTTTGTTAAGAATGCCAGGCTGTCAGGATCATGTAGAGAGTCTGAGAGACGAGGCACATTTTATAAAATTTCTCTAAGCTGCTTTGCCTTGCTAGGTACATGATAGTCATTGGATTTCTTATCCCAAACACATTATTTCTCATACTCTATCAGCTTTCCATTTTTTCTTAAGTATTCTCCATGTTATCCTAGTCTCACTCTTTCCATTTTATTTTCCATTTTTTAAATTCTTCCATACGCTTTTCAGTCACTAATAGAGTGACCGTGTTTTCTTCTTCTACTTATTGGACTTCAGATACTTCCAGTTTTCTCAAACTAGACTTTCATTAATTACTTTCATTTATATCTCCAATATTATCACACTCATCATATATATCTTTACTTCTCTGATTCACAATCCCTCTCACTTCTAATATACATACATACATGCATTGCTTATAGTATTCTATGGGTATACTATATGTATTTCCTTTAATTTTTATTTTTAATTTCTTTCATTTTTTATTACTTTCAGATTCATGCTTTGAATTTTACCTTTATATATTATTTTATTATTATATATGCAATTCTATAGCTATGACCTTCATTTCATTCTTTTTTATACCTATTTTGTAGTTATTGGAGTAACTAAATATATAGAAGCCTGTATATGTTTTATTCATACTTATGGTAGCAAAAGAAGACAGGAAAGACATACTTTTTTTTTTTTTAAATGTTTTTTCAATTGTAAAGATTTCTGGTATGCCAGCACCTTAATTCTGAAGACTAATGTTTCCTCTTGCCTGGGTAAGAGATATAAAAGAAGACAATAGAATAAGAAAAAACTAATATTTTGGAGTGATGGGGCTATTTTACACTTGATTCCCTCCATCCTCTTCCCTCTCTGCATCTTTACTTCCCTTTCTTTGTTCTTCATCCCCTGTCTCCCTTCCCTCCTTTTATGCCTTTCCTTTCTTCCCTTATTTTTCTCTCTCTTTCCCTCCTCCTTTCCTTTTATATTTCTGTCTCTTTCTATTTCTCCGTCATCTCTCCTCACATATCCTATTGTCTTTTTCTATTTCTCCATCATCTCTCCTCATATATCCTATTGTTTCTTCTTACTCTTTTCTTCTGAAGAGTTTTGTCAGGTACTTGCTGCTAGGTCTGCTGTTAGGTCCACTATTGGCAGGCCTGTTACTGAGCAGATGGGACTGCCTTTTTGACCATGGTCAAACAGGGCTGGAGCCAGGTCATGGGGCCACTTCTAAGTTTGCAGTTGGGTCCACAGATAACAAACCTATCCCTAGGGGCACAGTTGGGTATGGCTCCAACTGGGTCCTTGAGTGAGCTTCTGTTGGATCCCTGGATGGGTCTCAGAGTGAGTAGGACTGCTTGTGGGACTGCAGTAGAGCAGAACTAGAGCTGGTTCACTGGGCTGCTTCATGGACTTTAGTTGGGTCCAAGATTGGCTGGACAGTTACCAGTGGCACAGACAGGCATTGCTCCTTTTTTGCTAGTCCCTTGGTGAAAGGGGCTACTGGCAGGACTATGGCCAAGTGTGACTGAAGTCAAGTTCACAGGGAGACAGGGGTGCTTCTTGTCCATAGCTGGGTCCATGGTTATTGAGTCTGCCACTTGGTGTGGCCTGTTTTCTCAACATAAACATCCTTGGGCTTGGGCTTCATTAAGCTTTTGCGACATCCAACCTGAATCCTAAAGTTGTTGCCAAGGCACTTTCATCTGTGGATAGCAGCCAAAGAATTGTTTTGGGATAAGGGAGGAGGCATAAACTGGGGATTTCCTATTCTGTCATCTTGCTCATCATCTGCAGGTTTATTTTTTTAAAAATCAAAAATGGGATTACATTATACATACAGTTTCATAACTGCTTTTTTCATTTAACCTTATATCATGGATATCTTTTCATGTCAATGAATATAGGTCAACAGTACATGAATATCATTCCATGTACTGTATTTTATTTAACCAATCCTTTTCTGTTGTTTTTAAGGAATTTTACAAATATTCTTTTATAAACAATGCATAGTTTGAGTCACCCTTCTTTAGAAAGTTACCAAAAAATGGAATTGGACAACAGAAGTTTGAGGTCCAAGCATGAGATCAATCAGTAAATACTTGTTGAATAATCATCAGACTACATGAATGATTATAGGGACACAATGGTTGTTTAGTTCATTTGGAGTGGTTAATCTTTTAGCTATATGAAGGTGTATTATAAATGTATATTTTTGCAATCTTTTTAAGTAGCTTCATTGACAAATATCTTCAAATGGTTACTCAGCAAAGCAATGTCTGAGAATCTGTGTGGTATAAAGTTTTGGGTAAACTCAATACATTGTTAACTATCAAAGTTTTGATATAAGTATCTACCATGAAGAAATACCAAACCACAGTTGTTTTGTGGTTGATATTATCAGAAATATTAAAGATTAATAGTGTCCCTTACCAATGATACAATGATTCTTTATACCTGTAGTTTGGTTATCACAAGAAATGGTAAATTCATATTAGAAATGAAAGCGTTTTTTGGTAACTCAAGGATCTTGGGCAGATATTGACCTTTTTATCCTTAAATGGTTACCCTGTTAGCTGAGTTTCATAGAAAGCTTTATGATGAACTTACATTCACACAAATTGAAGAATTCTTCAAAGCATTATGTGAGGCAGTTAATATAACAATGTTAATATAGTATGGTGGTTAGGAGTATACTTGGTCTTTGATATTTGACATATTGGGATGGAATTCCATTATTTTCTCTGGGGTAAGTAATAACTTTTTTTGTTGTTGTTTTTCAAGGTGGCATCTCTTTATTGACTCAGTCTATGCCAGGCCCAACAGCAAGTAATAACTTCTTAAAGCATTTATTTTCTCATTTTAAAAATGAAGATGATGACAATTACAGAATTGTTCAGAGGATTAAATGAGATGATGCAAGGTGCCTGTCAGTGGTATGCAGTCAAAAACATCAGTCCTTCATCCTAGTAATCATGATGATGTACTACTCTAGCAGGTAACACTGTGGAGATACTGGTATAAGTGCTCAACCTCAATATGTTAACAGTGACCATTAAACTTTATTCCTTATTCAGATAGAGCTCAGTACACTTTTGTGTGTAATCAAATAAATATGTAAAACCACACTAATTTTATTGATTGTTAGAAGAAAGTCTGATTTATTGAAAAGTATGAATTATAGATTTTTTTTAAAAAAGTAAGAATAGTTATATTACTTTTAAATTCATCTAATAACTACAAGTAAACTAAAAGGAAAATTTTCAATAAAGTCTTTGAGGGAATATGTTTTGTTATGTAAGTAAAACTGGTGCTTTTTCAATTATCAATTTTGAATAATTTATTGTGTGCCTCTAAAACTTCTTGAGATACATGTACAACCTACACAAGCCTCCATAACAACACTTTTTATTTTTATGTCAAGTATAAAATAAACTAATATAAAGTTTCCTTGCAAGTTTCTAGTTTTCCTTGCTAATAAATTTGTATTTGAGTATACCACAATAAATAAATAAATAAATAAAAAATAAAATTCCTTTTTCCCTGAAATGTCACTGTCTTAGAGAATCTTTTTCTCACAATTAAAGGTAAAATTTATCAACCCAGATTTTTAAAAGTATAAGTTGACTTACTGTGATTTTCTCACTGTGTGTGTTTTTATATAAGCTGAATAAAAGAAAAAGGGGAAAAGAAACTGCTTTTCCCTAAAACTATTTATTTATTTATTTTTAATTTTTTATTCCTTTCCTTTTTTTTCTTTTCTTTTTTATCTCCTCCAGAAGCCTCTAAATATTTGGCATCCCTAAAACTATTTAAATTTAACTTAACATTGAAAGCTATGTTAGGTTTGAACTAAAACATTGTAAAACAATGTTTTAGAGACCCTGGGGCAACTTCATTCTAATTCAACTAATAAATATTAAGCACATATTATGAGTCCAGCATTGTTTTGGGACTACAAAGATGAATTTAATGTGGATGTTATTGCTGGGAGGGAATTTAGGGATAATTTAATACAAACTCCTGAATGGACAGAGGAGGAAATTAAGGCTCCTGAGAGATGAAATGGCTTTCCCACAGTAGTAGATAAGTAGTAGAGCCAAGATTAGAATACTTCCAATTTGGCATTCCTTGCATTGCCTCACATTCAGTGCTCCAAAGTTTTACAAAAAGATTCAGTTTTTACATGGGCTACAGCTCTTGTGGCTGGGCTACCCCAACAAAGCAGGTCGGGAAAATTTCCGTGATAGTCAGCATCTCAAAATAGCAGCCGGTCACTGCAGCTTTGTTCCTAACTCTGGAAGAATGAAAGAAATTCTAATTATACAACTGGCACTGGACAAATAGTCCCTCTCAACAAACATCTGAGGGCTAACTATGTGCCTGGCTCTGTGTTATACCCTAGGAATATAAAATAGACCCCAAACAATCCTTGTCCTTAGGAAACTAATAGTCTAGTGGAGGAGACAAACCTGTAAAGAGATAATCTCAGTAACATTACACAGCCCGAGCCAATAAGAAAATGCATTCTAATTTTGTTTTCCTTTTTCATCATGCTTTGTTAAAATTTTGTTACATTGAGGGTGTTTTGGCCAGGGCACAAATATACTAATCCTACTTCAACACTCCTCCAAGAAGTTCCTGTGGCAGGGATATGCAAAGAAACAATGGAAAAGCAAAGCAAAATTAGCACTTTGACTCTAAACTCCTTACAGAGAAATAGGATATAGTGAGCTATAGTTTTAGAAAGCAGTCATTTCTCTAATCTAGTTGGGTTTAAATGACCTTAGGCCAAATCACCATCTAATATACAATCTCACATTTTAGATCTAATTCTGGTCACATAGAATAAAAATAAGTGAGGGAGAAGGCGGCTAGCTGATTAGGCTTCTGCCATTCTGGGCCAGCCCTAGTCTTCGTGCTCTGATGCCCTGGAAGGGAAACACTAAGAAAGAGCCCCAAGCTCTGATTTTGATTTTTTGTTTTTTTGAGGCAGAGTTTCACTCTGTGGTCCTGACTAGAGTGCAGTAGTGTCATTATAGCTCACTGAAACCTCAAACTCCTGGGCTCAGCCTCTGCCTCAGCCTCCTGCCTCAGCCTCTGGAGTAGCTGGGACTATAGGCATGAGCCACCATGCCCGGCTAATTTTTTCTATTTTTAGTAGAGATGGGGTCTTGCTCTTGCTCAGGGTGGTCTCAACTCTTGAGCTCAAGTGATCCTCTTGCCTCGGTCTCCCAGAATGTTAGGATTATAGACATGAGCCACTGCGCCCAGACCCGACCTATAATATTTTAATAGCTGGAAATTTCACTCACTATAAAGCATGGCCTTATCAATGATTTAAGTATAATCACTTCCTCCTCTTTGCTTTGACAGTTTGGTGTCCTCGAATAAGATATTATTTCTTCTTAGAGTATTCTTTTTCCTTTTTAGTACCAGATAATCTTCTTGAAAACTCCATTTAAATTTTATTTGTGCTTGATGTGGTGGCTCACACGTGTAATCCCAACACTTTGGGAGACTGAGGCCAGAGGATCCCTTGAGGCTGGGAGTTCAGAGACCAGGCCGAGCAACATAGCAAGACCTCATCGTTAACAAAAAAAGAAAAAAATAGCTGGGTGTAGTGGTGCACTTGCCTCTAATCCTAGCTATCTAGGGGGCTGAGGCAGGAGGATCTCTTGAGCTCAGGAGTTCAAGGCCGCAGTGAGCTATGATCATGCCACTGCACTCCAGGCTGAGTGACAGAGCCAGACACTGTTTCTAAAAATTAATTAATTAATTAATTAATTAATTAACTTATTTACAAAATCATTCTTTTCTAATGATAACAAATTTGGATCAATCCTTTTCATTAGATCCTATCACCTACTACATCCAGACTAGGCATTAGTGGCCAATCTGCGAGGTGCAGACAAAAACAGTATTTATGCTTTTTTTTGAGACAGAGTCTCACTTTGTTGCCTAGGCTAGAACAAGTGCTGTGGCGTCAACCTAGCTCACAGCAACCTCAAACTCCTGGACTCAAGCAATCCTGCTGCCTCAGCCTCCTGAGTAGCTGGGACTACAGGCATGCGCCATGATGCCCGGCTAATTTTTTCTATATATATTAGTTGGCCAATTGATTTCTTTCTATTTTTAGTAGAGACAGGGTCTTGCTCTTGCTCAGGCTGGTTTTGAACTCCTGACCTCGAGCAATCTGCCTGCCTCAGCCTCCCAGAGAGCTAGTATTACAAGCGTGAACCACCGCGCCTGGCCAGTATTTACTCTTAGTTTGCTCTCCTGAATCTCAAGAGGGGTTAAAAATTTTAACAGAGGAGTTGACCATCCATCTAGAGCTTTAAGTATTGTTGGATGGATCATGAGAAGTGAAACAAACATTTTGAATGATTACAGCTCTATAATTCTACTGTAAACCCATTTCTATTTTTAAAACTCATTTGCCCAGTTAACCTTGGCATTACACAAGAAGTGAACAGTCTGGCAGATTCCGATGACTATCACATGAGGAAGTACAGAGCTACATACAACAGAAAGCAACATCATGGCAACTTTGGTCTTAAAAGCTTTCTTTTAATCTTATCGTTCCATAAATATGATCTGAGTCATCCATAATATAAAGTGTTTGCTTTTTTGAACTTATCACTTTTAATGACATTGGGCTCATAAATTTTTGCATGTCAAACCTCAATGGTTCCCAAAAAAACACATTTTTATTATCCCATAAAAACATGCATTTAATTAGTTTGTTTATCAGATTACAGTCTGCAGGAAATTTAATCATATTATTTAGGTATTCAATTCAATTCAAAACATATTGATTGTGTGCCTACTCTATGCTAGGCCCTATGCCAGGTACTAAGACTACAAAGACATGGAAAATAAATTCCTGCTCTCTAGGAATTCACAGTGTGTACAGGTAGATAGACTAGATGCTACAGGAGCAGTAGGTAATTCATTTAGCAAGCATTTGTTAAGTGCCTACTAAATATCAGTGCCTAGAACTACACCTGGCAGATATTGGTGGTAGATATGCATTGAGTAAATGCATGCATGAATGAATATGCTAGGCACTATTTGTGGTAGATTCTGGGGCTACATAGGTCAGTAAGATGGGTTTCTTCCTACCCTCGAGCCAACCACAGTGTGGTGGAGCCATATCTGTTACTCCAAATGATGTTTTACTCCTAAGCTCCAGACCACATTCTTCTGCTTTTTTGTTTGGTATTCTCATGCATTTGTCCTCCATGTACCTCAAGTGTAAGATGTGTTCTACTGTATTCCCTTATTCTCATATTTGTTCTTCCTCTTATTTTTCCTGACTTGGTGAATAACATCATCTGTCTCATGGCCCAAGCTAAAAATCTGGTGTTTTTTTTTTTTTTTTTTTGAGACAGAGTCTCGTTCTGTTGCCTGGGCTAGAGTGGCATGGTGTCAGCCTAGCTCACAGCAACCTCAAACTCCTGGACTCAAGCAATCCTGCTGCCTCAGCCTCCTGAGTAGCTGGTACTACAGGCATGCTCCATGATGCCTGGCTAATTTTTTCTGTATATATTAGTTGGCCAATTGATTTCTTTCTATTTATAGTAGAGATGGGGTCTTGCTCAGGCTGGTTTTGAACTCCTGACCTCGAGCAATCCGCTCGCCCCAGCCGCCCAGAGTGTTAGGATTACAGGCGTGAGCCACCGCGCCCTGCCAAAATCTGGTGTTCTAATTAACAATAACTCTCCATACAAGGTTCTTAATATCTCTCATTCCTCTTTCTCCACCCCCTTTCCTACTATTTTAGGATCCTTATTTGTTATCTCTTGGTTGAATTATTGCAATTGCCAGCCTGGAGGTAACTATTTTAAATTCTTTCAGTTTATTCCTTGGGTATCAAGCTTCATACGTTAGTAAGAAACTTATATTGCTATTTCCTGAATTTTTAGATTCAGGCTTTACTTATGGATTTGCCACGTTTAAAGATGAAAATTTAACTCTGATTTTATCTTCCTCACATTTATTACACACAGAAATTTCTTTTGAATGCTCAGACTAGCAATATCATTATACTTTTATTTTGACTAGATCAATATTCAATGTTTTAGAGACAGGGGCTTGTTCTGTCATAGGTCAGTGATCATAGGTCACTGCAACCTGCAACTCCTGG